CGCTCACCGTTTGTTTGCTTGTCTCCCCACCCCCTCCATAGAGCAGGGACCAGGCCACTGCTCACTGCTGTATGCTCAGCACCTGGAGCAGCGCCTAGCCGGAAACACTCCTGCGTGTCTCCTGTAGGTGGGAGGAAGTGGCTACCGCTGAGTCAGTCATGCATGTGACCAACCACATCGTACCCCAGGTGGAGCCATGGGCCCCTAGCCTGAATGTGGGCCACCACAAAACCTGATGTAGAAACCATGCTGTTAATCAGTCCCCTGGTGCCCCACCGCTGGAAACTAACCCCCTGTTCCGCCTCACTTCCTAGCATGTTGTAGGCCCTTCCCTGTTTCCTGCGGGATGGTTGAGAGCCCCTTCAAGAAGCAGTGTGGGGCTCTGGGCCCAAGGCCCAGCTCCAACACGAGGCTTGCTGGCCTGGTCTCCAGGGCCTGCCCATCCTCTTAGTCCTCACATGGCTTCCCATGCTTACGGGATTATGTATGCTTAGTTCAGGGGCTTGCTGTCCCCAGGACCCAGGTCAAGTTCTTGGTCTACGGGTGAGAGGACTGAGGCCCAGAGGAGACGGACTCCCCCAGGCCTGGAGCGCAGAACTTTGTCCCTCACACCTGGTGCTGGCCTTACCTGAACTGCTCATACTCCTGGATGACGCAGGGGCCTCGGCCCGGCTGCCACTCGCCCCCGAGGTCCCAGTGACCGAAGCGGCGGATGTCCACAAAGCAGAGGGCACGCCGGGGGCCAGGCGGGGCCGTGTGGAAGCGCAGGTGGGCATGGCGTGGCAGCGCATCCCCGGGTGCCATCTGGAATGAACCGGACATGCCGAAGCGGAAGACGAGGGCCAATGGCTCCCGAGGAGGCTGGGCGCCCGGCAGAGGGCTCAGGGTCAGGCGCAGCTCTTTGCCCCGGGCTGTGGCTGAGATGCTGTAGGCACTGCTCTCAAAGGGCACCTCAGCATTTCGGCTGACAGCGGACTTCTCCACCGGCCCGCCAAACACAAGTCCCTTGCAGGTCTTGTTCACAAAGAGGCTGGCCAGCTGCAGCTCGGGGCCCTCGGGCATCCTGTAGGAGGGGTGGCTGAGCCCTGTGGGGGAAGCAGACAGCAGGCTGACCCAGTATACGCCCCCAACCCCCAAGTGTTAGAAGTCAGAGGGGACAGACAGCACAGGCCTGACCTCAGCCCCAGGGCCCCCCATCGGAAGTGCTGAGGAAGCCCTGAGTCAGTGGGGAGCTGCATCTGGGAAGGAAGCAGGGCTGTTAACATTCGCTCTCAAGCTGTTAGACTCAAACCCAAATCTTAGCAGGCTCACCTCCATCCAGCCCGTGGTTTCCCAGGCTGCCCCCAGGCACTGGCAGCCTGTCCTCCCCCACTACTCCCCACCTTAGTCCTGTCCCTCCAGGCTGGACCCCTTCCCAAAGCACACTACACTCACCTGGGAGCGGACTTCATTTGTCTTTCATTAATCAACCACCACGACCCACACACAACAAGGCCCTGCAGATCCAGGAGCACACACCGGGGAGCCCAGGCTTGCCTTGCATTTAGAGCCACCTGGGATTGTTTTAGGAGCTCTGGTCGTGTAGCAGTTAGGCATTGGGCTGCTACTGCAAGGTCAGCGGTTTGAAACCACCAGCAGCTGCGAGGGAAAAATCAAAGGGCTTTCTACTCCCGTAAAGGGTCACCGTCCCAGGAACTCACGGGGGCAGTTCTGCCCTGTCCTGTAGGGTCCCTATGAATCTGCATCCACTGAGTAGCGGCACGTTTTCGTTTGGAAAGTCTTGCTGTGTACTGCCTGCCTCCCTGCTAAGGGTGAACTTTGCTCGGCCCCGGCGCAGGCCGCTAGAACCGTGCCTGCGTCCGCTGACCCCAGCTCGCGGGGCAGGGGCCTGAGAAACGCGCCCAGCCGCACGAGCCTCCCGTCACCTGTCCGCCAGCCAGAGCCGGTTCCAAGTTCGGAGCTAAGGGCCACGCCAGAACCCGAACCCCCCCACGATAGGGCCTCGGCCCACTTCCTACCCGTGGCCTCTATCACCTGGCAGAAGGCGGAGACTCGACCCTCAGAGTGTCCCGGGGTCCAGGGCGGCTTGGGTCTGGTGCACCAGGTCACTGGGTCCGGATGAATTTCCTCATCGCCCCGCCCCCATACCTCAGCTCCACCCGGGGGCTGACACCCAAAAAAGGCTTGTTTTGCCGGAAAAAGCGAACGTCTAAATTTCTAGTTTGGCGAGAGGTGGGTGCCTGCCTCATCCTCTCCCTCACCGCGACTCTGCCCACGGTTAATCCTGGCTCCTTTCCTCCCCCCAATCCTTTCCCGGCCCCCCAACTCTGCAGCACCAGGCCCCAGCCCACCGCACCACCCGCGAACCTGCGCTGCGACCAACGTGCAAGCACTAAGGGGTTAATGCGAGGGGCGGAGCCGCGCCCCGGAGCGTGCTGGGAGCGGAGGTCCCTGCCCGGGGCTGCTGGGAAATGTAGTTCTGAAGGGGCAGAGACCAGGCTGCGCGGGGAGAAGGGCGGAGGCGTGGGGTCAGTCACCTGGCTGAGAGACGGAGGAAGGTCCTGGCGTCCCGCTGCCCGGCTCGGGCACGTCTGAGGGTCAGTCTGGGTCCCGAGCGCCAGCTGTCTCCGCGGCTGGTGGGCGTCACCCCCACGCCCCCTCCCCCCGGCTGGAAACTGCAGCTGGGCGCGCAGGTGCTGATAAGCGTGGGCCCTGGGGACCTGGTGGGGGCCCTAAGTGCCACCACCAAACATCATTACCTGTCAAGTGGGACATGCAGCCAAGCACGACGAACCCAGGGCCGAGGAGGGCGGAGTCCGGTGGTCCCGAGGGGGAAGGGCCGAAGGAGAGATTGGGGCTGGCAGCAGGCTCGGAAGTCAGAGGGACCCCGGCGAAGCCCAGTGTGGCCCAGGCGGCTGCGCGAGGACAGAGGATCGCGCTGTCCAGGTCCAGTCTGATGGCTTGAGAGGCTTTTGGCGAGTGTGACAGGGTGCTGAAGGCAGTGGGCCTGCCCCATTGACACCGTCTGTCCCCCTTCCTACTATCTGCTCCCCACCTCCATCTGTGGCCGAAGTGCTTTAAATTGGACAAATGATGGCACTCCATCCCTGAAGTGCTATAAACAGTTTAGTGGGCATGCCTACTGTCCACCAACCCACAATAGCTTGACCATTCTTCGAAAGAGAACCAAATTCACTGCCACTGAGTCAATTTAGACTCGGTGTGAACCCTATAGGCCACCAGAGTGGCCCGTGGGTTTCCGGAACTGTACCTCTTTCTTCCCGGTAAAAGCCTCCTTTGCCCCAGGGATCAGCTGGTGGCTTTGAACTGGTGACCTTGCAGTAACATCCCAATGTGCAACCCATTGCATCACCAGGGCTCCTTAAGCCTAGTTAACAATACTCAATACTACCTGATACCTCGTCTAGATTTCCTCTATGGTCACCAAATTTCCTCCAAAGTTTGTTCAAGGCAGTTTCTACTGTAGAGTATTTCTTTAATCATTTTTTAATCTAGATGGAACCACCCCACCTCCTACCTTTTTTGGGGGTGGTGGGTGGGGATATGTATCTCTCATGACCATTACAGAGACATGGTCCTGGATTAGATTCTAAGCAGTGTCAGAGCCAGGCTGTTAAAAGGATCTCTTTAAGTATGCGTCTCCCAGAGTCTCAACGCAATACTCAGCTCATCCGGGACTCAATTTAAAATCACTCATCAAAAAGTGCATCTACTCGCTGGTTGCATGAGTCAGGGGTTGGGTCCGCCCTTTTTCTGATGCTTAAACCGTCTCTCTGACCAGTAGAACAAGCTGGCTCCTTTTGGCAAGACACATTCTTGTCTGAGAGCTCCTCACAAAGGCCGTCCCCTGCTCTGACCTGGGAATCGGCCTTTTCCACAAGGAGCCCCGTTGGTCTTGGCCACTCCTGGGCAGGTTCCATTTTTAATGACTTGGTGCTGGAATGTTATAAGAGCTGTAAGAGGCCCCAATAAGATGATTTTTTAAAATAAGATGCAACCAGAAATAAACAATACTTGAGTTTCATGATAAAAACATAATAATAACTGAAAAATAAATGGCTTGGTGGGTGAAGCAAAAAGGCTATCATAGGGAACCCATCACAAATTTGGGTATATAGCCCCGCCCCAGGGGGAGGGGGACAAGTAACAGAAATGTGGGTGAAGAAAGACAACAGTGTAAGACACGAAAAAACAACAATAATATATCATTGATTAAGGACTGATGAGGATGGGGTGGGAGGGAAAAAAAGAGGAACTGAGACCAAGGGCTCAAGAAGAAAGAAAATGTTTTGGAAATGTTGATGGCAACATATGTACATGTGTGCTTGAGACAACGGAATGATGGACTATCACGAGATTTGTAAGAGCCCCCCAATAAAATGATTATTAAAAAAATGTTTTTAAAGTCTACCACTGACACGTGGTTCTGGGTGTATGTGGAAACTGATACAAGCGGATCTAGTGTGGAAATCATTTGCATAGGAAATGTTGAATGGGAACTTATTTTACTGGGTAAACATCCACCCAAAATACAGTAAAATATTATTAAAAAAAAAAAAAAAAGACTTCATTCTCAAGGAGGAGAGCCCTGGCAGTACAAGAGCCAAGCGTTTGGCGGGTGACCCAGCTGCTCCGCAGGGCGGAGGCCTGGCGCTCTGCCCCGAGCATGCAAACACAAAGGCAAGGGGACTCCCACTTATGGTGACCCGATTGGACAGAGAAGAGCTGCCCCGGTGGTTTCTGAGTGACCTTTCATGGGAGTGGGAAGCTTCCTCTTCCTCCTGCAGAACAGCTGGTGGCTTCGAACTGCTGACCTTGTGGCTCACAGCCCAACCGTTACCCCACTGTGCCGCCGCCAGAGCTCTCTCCATGCAGATTACAACCAGGAAACCCCCAGGGGCAGTTCTACCCTGTCACAGGGAGTCGCTAGGATTCGTTTGAAAACCAGCAGCACGCAGCTTGATTAGTGGGGACATGGGAGTGGGCTCAGGCACGGGCCCCCCTTCCTCTGTAAAGAGGCAGGCAAGTTCTCCTTTCTGCACGTGGGGCCCCTGGTGCTTGCTGCCAGCCTGAGGCCGGCACGGGGAGCGCAGAGCTAGGGCCCGAGCCTTCCTCTCGATGGGCAAGCACCTTCTCTTTGGAGCTCAGTTTGCCTCACCAGTGGCTGAGCAGAGAAATGAGTGCTGAGCCGGGATGCCAACACTCACGTGTCGCCTGGTCTCAATCATAAAACCTTCGATGGGAAACCCACAAGGACGCCGCACGCACTCCTTCACACGTCTGTTTATTCTTCCGACTTGTGAAAATGCCCACAAGCCCCTCTGACGCGGAGGGAGGGCGATGCTGAGAAGGCCGTGAGATCCCAGTGCTGAGCTCTTGGGGGCCCCCAAAGCCAGGGGCTCAGGAGGCCTGGGCCTGGGGCCGCTCCCCACAGAGGAGCCTGGGGGTGGGGGGCACTTCACACGGCCAGAGCGGCTCTACATGGACCCAGTAGTCCTGGACACTTCTCATCATCATCAGCTCAAGGAACTCAACAGTGTCTGGCCCATCTTCAGTTCTGTGGGGGTGAGGAAGGGGGAGACGTGAGCAGGCAGC